CTGTCATTTCGGGACGGTCGCTAAACGAAGTGTTGCAAGTCGAGGACGACTACCCCGTGCTCCAGGGGAGGCCTTCCCAAGGCTTGCACCTTACACGTGTGCGGGGTATGCGTACACACGCATGTGCAGACATGCCATTTCTACCCTCCAAAACGCCCCTCTCCTAATTCCTTCCCTCCCAAGCGGATCCCCCTCCAGTTTCACAGCGGACACTTGTGCGGGTTGCGTGGGTGGGAAGGACATAAAGAACCGGTAAGCAGCGAGCGGGGTCTCGAGGGAGGCCGGAGGTGTTTGCAACGGGTCAAGAGAGAGCCGAGACCGGCCGGCCGGGCTGATCGGACCGCGATCCCGAAGGGGAAACGGTCTGAATAGGGAGGAATTGGGGAGGGGCGGGGGGGGGGAAACGATTGTTACTTCTCTCGGCTGTTCCCCGGGGCAGGCTCTTCCTTCCTCCTTCCCTCCCTCCCTCGGCTGTCAAGTCCGGCCGCTCACCTTGGCGCGCGCGCCGCGCTCGGGCTCCGCTGGTTGTAGCTTTTCCGCGCGGAGAAACAGGAAAAGGTTCCCCGCCGTCTATTCTAGGCAGCCGAACTCGTCTGCTTTTTCTTTTTCTTTTTTTAAAAATGCCCTTTAAAACCCGCCCCCTTTCCCGGGAGTAAGCGTGGATGGCTTGGGATAATGGCGGGCGCCTTTCTTTCTCCCCCCCCCCCCCCCCCCCCTTTGGCGCCTCAGCAGGGCAAAGGAGCCCGTAAAAGGCTCCCTCTCTCTCCCCCTTTAGCCCGGCGGTGGGAGGAGAAAGGAGCAGCCGCCCCAAAGAAGGCGCTTTTCCTTCAGAAGCGGGACGGTGCCAAGGAGAGAAGCCATATAGAAATACAGGGGTGGGGAAACGATGGCCCCCTTGATGAGCTTGTGGACTTCAACTCCCAGAATTCCTGAGCCAGCCGTGCTTATGAGCCACGCTGGCTGAGGAATTCTGGGAATTGAAGTTCACAAAGTCCACAAAGTCGCCATCGTTTTCCCCATGCTGGCTCAGGAATTCTACAATTAACAATCAGAATAGAGCTGGAAAGGGACCTTGGAGGGCTTCTGGTCCAGGGATCTCCAACCTTGGCAACTTTTAAGACTTGTGGACTTCCAACTCTCAGAATTCCTCCTCCAGTCATGTTAGCTCAGGAATTCTGGGGGGGACTTGCATAAGCGCACCAACATGCCTACCCTCCCTGTCTTTTTCTTTTCTTATTTGTATCCATTTTATGCATTCATAACCACGTTTATACTTATACCTGTTATCTAATAATCGCTTGACAAAATAAAATAAATAAATAAAATAAAATTGCCAAAGTTGGAGACCCCTGTTCTAGTCCAATCCCTTGCTCTTCTCTTCTTCCCACAACAAAGTAAAACTACTCCCATTTCCATGCAGTTTCACAGGCTGCTGAAAAATAACAAAACGTTTCAAATCAGTTGTCCTCATTATTTTAATTTTTTCTTCTTCCTTGTATATAGCTCAGTGTTTCTCAATCTTAGCAACTTTTAAGATGGATGGATTCCAACTCCCAGAATTCCCCAGCCAGCAAATTTTGGGAGTTGAAGTCCATCCATCTTAAAGTTGCTAAGGTTGAGAAACGCTGACACAGATGTTCCAGATGTTTAAGATTTCTCTTAAAAGGCTTTTATTACCATCCCAGCATTTACACAACTTTATTAAGATGGTGAAGTGTGAGCTGCACTCACTCAACTGTCTTCAAAAAGAAAAAAAGATTGACTCTTGTGATTTCTCACTTAGGGGGTTATTTGATGAGAGAAAAACAACTGCATTCTGATTTAAATTGTGATGACTCGGGGTGTGGCACAAAGGCAACACAGTCAGATAATCAGTAGGAGTCCCATTATTAGCTCCAACTTTGCCCTCAATGTCCTGGTTACCTTCTGGCTGGAGAAAAACTCTCCCGTGAACAGCCCTTGGCTGCAGAGAATCAAATCCAAAACATGGTCAACAAAAACTGTAACTATAAGTCCAACCAAGGCAAGATGAGGTAATTAGTCTGGCAGGGCAAGAGAAGGAATTCCAGACGTGAAGGAACGGTAGTAATTCAACACAGTTGGGAGGTTGCCAGGAACACAGATAACCAAAGTCAACAAACGTTTGTTCCCAGCAGATGCTGCACTCAGCATGCATTTCTTTTAAATTCTCTTCCCAGGTATGGCTAATTAAGGGAATCAGGGCCCTTTCCTCCCCCATAAGCCACGCAACCCACATTGCTCTCTTCTCCATTCCTCCCTGCGTGCCCTAGGATGAAGAGGGGGTGGGCCTGGGTCTTCCTCTGAACTGCCTCTCCCTTGTTCTACCTCTTCCCTGCTCTGCCCAGCCAGACTTTGCCCTTCCCCAGTTTCCTCCACAGTCAATGGAGCCACACTCCCACGCCTGTCAGCTGTTCATCTTTCTTCTTGGATTCAGACTCTTGACAGGGGCATGACATAAATGATAAATTTAACCCACCCATACACTCTTGAAAAATTGTGTCACTTTTATTCTGAAAAAGATTGAATGTCGCTTCTCCTTTTGCAAGCGTTGCTTGAGGCTGTTTGAGAAAAATTCTCAAGTGCTGAAGAGGACTTGATTGATCACAAAAGCCTTTGCTACGGTCTGATTCCCGCCTTGCTCTTTCCCCACGTGGATTTTCTGATGGGTAGCCAGGCAATCTCCCCGGCTGAAGCTCTTCCCGCATTCAGGGCACCGATAGGGTTTGACCCCCGTGTGGAGCCGCTGATGCCGGATCAGGTCCGAGTTCTGACTGAAGCTCTTCTCGCACTCGGAGCACTTGTAGGGTTTCTCCCGGGTGTGGATCCGCTGATGCCTGACGAGGCTCGAATGGGCGCTTAAGCTTAGGCCGCAGTCAGAGCAGCTGAAGGGCTTCTGGCCCGTGTGCATCCTCAAGTGCATCTCCAAGATGGACTTACGAAGGAAAGTCTTGCCACAGTTGGAGCAGTCGTAGAGCTTCTCCAGCCGGTGGACTCTCTGGTGGGATGTAAGGTTCGCTTTATGACCAAAGCCCTTTCCGCAGTCCAGGCATTTATGGGGCAGTTCTCGGCTATGGAGTCTTTGATAGAGGGGGACCCCCTTCCCGAAGGCTGAGTTTTTACTGGGTCTCTCTTCTGGGATGACAACGAGGCACTGGTTTTTCCTCTTCTTCCGCTGCTTTTCCTGAGGAAATGGAACCTCGTCCACATCAGCGGTCCGATCCGACACAGATTTAGCCTTTTCTCCCGCCCTTCCTGCATCTGCACCTTCCTGCATCTGTGAACCGTCTGGATTCCAGGCGATTTCTCTCAGGCCTTCGCATCTGGCTCTTTCTAACCCTTGGCGTGTTTCACCTCCATCTTCTTTCTCGGAGACACCTTCTGGAGAAGGGAGAGAGAGAGAGAGAGAGACCAAAATGAAATCCAGTTAGTTCTCGACTTACAACAGTTGGTTTAATGACTGTTCAAAGTCAAAGGGGACATCAGATCACTTAACAACCATGTTACTAACTGAACAACTGCAGTGATTCTCTTACATACACCGTCTCCTTAGTACTAAATAAGATGATGGTCCTAGTGAATTGAATATTTCTGATTTACAGATTACAGTTAATCAGAGTTGGAAGGGACTTTGTAGGTCATCTAGTCCAACCCCCTGCCCAAGTTGGAGACCCTACACCATTTCTCACAAATGGCAGTCCAATCTCTTCTTGAAAGTCTCAAGTGATGGCGCTCCCACAACTTCCGAGGGCAACTTCTGTTCCATTGGTTGATTGTTCTCACTGTCAGAAAGTTTCTCCTTATTTCCAGGTTAAATCTCTCCTTGTTCAGTTTCCATCCATTATTCCTTGTCTGGCCTTCGGGTACTTTAGAAATAGGTTAACCCCTTCCTCTCTGTGGCAGCCCCTCAAATATTGGAAGACTGCTATCATGTCTCCCCTGGTCCTTGTCTTCACTAGAGTAGCCAGGCCCAGTTCCAGTAACCATTTTTCATATGTTTTAGTCTCCAGTCCCCTAATCATCCTGGTTGCTCTTCTCTGTACTTTTTCTAGAGTCTCAACCTCTTTTTTACAGTGTGGTGACCAAAATTTATATTTCAGATTTAGTGTTTCACCTTGTAACAGAATGACATTCAAAATACGCTGTATAACTGAAAGATGGCTTTTATTTGTTGTTTTCGTTGTAAAAATAAAAAAAATTCAAACAAAAAAGAATGATGTTCAAAATATGTGTTTGTATATTACTAAATATTAAATCAGAAATATTCAATTCACCAAGACCATTCTTACATTTATTTCTAAGGAGACAATGTGTGTAGGCCAAACCTCTTTTTGATTCATGAATTTATCCACAATTCTTTTTTTTAAAAAAAATTTCAAATCTAATCAGCAGCCCTGTGATTTCTTGATGGTCTCCCATCCATGTAGCAACCCTACTCCAAGCTCCAAACTCCAAGCTCCAAACTCCAATCCCAAGACAAAAAAAATACAGGATTGTCAAAGCGATTAGGAGAATCTGTGGGGTGAGGTTTTTTTTCCCCCTATTGTGAGCTTGCTTAGTTTTTCATGTAGGCCCTGCTTTAAGAAAAGGAGTGATTTTAGAAGGATTTTAACCCCAAAGATCTAGTGGGAATTCACCAACTTTTCCTGATTGACTAAACCTAGTTTAAGTTTTCTTAGCTAACTTAAACATTGATCCTGGCTGTGAATTACTAATTAACCTATCTTTCGTGAATCAGTCAATCTCATTTTATAACATTCTGTATCTTAGAGAGTATTATAATGCCTGTGGTAGTGTGCAATTTAGTATTTTTATTATTTTATTATTTTTCTAACATCCTATTTTGGTCTGCATTTAATCTCCTGTCATGTGGCTTCTTGCATAAGCATGAGATTTCAAATTATGAGAGGTTATAAAATTTATAATTTTACATATATATTCAGGGGCATCCGACTCTTAACGTGAGCGAAACCCCCAATTCACTTGTATCTCACGGCAATCACAATTGTTAAAGAAGGCAGATGCCTGTTTACCTGGAGGTTTCGCTTCTTCTGAACTCTGAAAAAATGTCTTGTTTTTCTCTCCCAGCCAACAAACCTCACTTTGGGGTAAGAGTGGACTTCCTGCAGCAGATAACAAAAAAGCAATACAGATGAATGAGTTAATTTCTACATTTCTAATGGTAGACAAGTATTTCAGTCAGTAAGAAGAAGAAACTGTTGACCTCACCTATCTCGTTACTCTACGTTCAGAATGGCCGTTGAGTAATGCCTATGAGCTACGGACACAAATACCATTAATGATATGACTACACAGATTTTCAGTCATCGAGATCATGGTTGTCCCAAAGGGGCTATTTTTCAAGAGGCAACTGGACTTTCTGTTTTTTCTTTCTGTTTTTGCTTCTTATCCAAGAAGCTTCTTCAACTCTGGCTGGATGGTGGGAAATGGAATCCAGTTAGAGCTGAAGAAGCTTCTTGGATGAGAAGCGAAATGTCTTCAAACAGAAAGTCCAGTTGCCTCTTGAAAAAAAAAAAACCCTTTGAGACTACCGTTAATGATACTGTCTCTTAGGAAACCTGTAGCAGCAGGCAACTGACTTTTGCCAAAGAGCTAGACTAGATGACCTTTTTAGTTGTATAGAATGTGAAGGATGTATGTTTGTGTTTTATTTTTATAGTTCACTGAAGATGGTATTTAATGTCATTGTACAAGGTGCGATGACAGTAAAGTAAAGTAAACTAAAACTAGTTCCCACACAGTATCTCTATAATGGCTTGGAGCAGAGGTCACCAACCTTTTGGACCTCAGGGACCACCAAACTCATAATATTAAATCCCGCGGACCAGAGACCCTGGGAAAATCCCCCCAAAAAGTCTGCAGGAAAATTCCCCACCCCGTTTTCCTACCAATCGATCATTCTTTATTTGGGATCGCAGGATACCGTCTCCAGCTCCATTCTCAAGGGGAGAGAGAGAGAGAGAGAGACTTTTGGCTTCATGCAAGGAAAGCAGCAGATGCAGCAGAAGTCTTTCTTTCTCTCTCCCAAACTCTGCCAGAAACGAGTCTTTGTAAGACTTGTTGTGCCGGTGCAGCCTCTTGGAGCAGGAGGCCTTGCAGGGTCCCAAAGACTCATTTCTGGCAGAGTTTGGGGGAGAGAAAGAAAGACCTTTGCTGCTTTCCTTGTGTGCAGCCAAAAGCAGAAGAAGAAAGAAGTGGAAAGAAGCAGCCCATAGTGGCCAGGCGAGGCGAGTGGGGCAAATTCTCCCCCTCCACCCTTTCCCCCCTCCCCTCACTACCTCATGTTGTTCGTAATGCAAGTGATACAAGCCTTGTGTTCCCACGGGCCATGTGGGCGGCGCAGCCTTGTGTTCCCATGCAGCCTGGATTAATTGCTTTGGGGGTGACATTTTTCTATGGACCACCAAAATTTTCTCGTGGATCACCAGTTGGCGACCACTGAGCTAAACCATCCTCCACAGTTGGCTGCTCATCTGGTCCTTAAAATATTTCAAAGCAAGAGAAGACAACCTTTGTAAGATTTGTATCCTATGACTATGACTAAGTGTTGTACCTAATGATTCATGATGAATGTCTTTATGATGACTACGATCATGATTTATCACTTATATCTTTTAGGTACACCGAGAGCTTATGCACCGAAGACAAATCCCTTGTGTGTCCAATCACACTTGGCCAATAAAGAATTCTAGTTTTGATTCTATTGCTAGACCTTGTTGGAAAACAGAGGCAACTGATGTTCAGGTGAAACCATCTTAGACAGGCAGCTGTCTGAATTTCTCTCCTGCATTCAGTGGCAGATTAAGGTTCACTGGTGCCCTAAGCACTGAAGAATCTTGGTGCCCTCCTCCTTTGCACATACTGTACAAAAGAAACCAAGCTTAGGCTACATAAAAGTTTTTGTGGTGCTCCCTTTGGGCCTGGTGCTCTAAGCACGTGTTTAGTCTGCTTAATGGTTAATACACCACTGCCTCCGTTGTCTGAATGGACAACTAGCTAAATATGAGCCAGTAGTGTGCAGCAGCCGCCAAAAAAGCTAATGCAATCCTAAGTTGCATTAACAGAGGGATACAATCAAGATCAACTACTCTATAAAGCCTTAGTAAGTCCACACCTAGAGTACTGCATCCAGTTTTGGTCACCACATTATAAAAAAGATGTTGAGACTCTAGAAAAAGTGCAGAGAAGAGCAACCAGGATGATTAGAGGACTGGAGGACTGGAGGCTAAAACACACAATGAACGGTTGCAGGAACTGGGCTTGGCTAGTCTAGTAAAGAGAAGGACCAGGGGAGACATGATAGCGGTCTTCCAATATTTGAGGGGCTGCCACAGGGAGGAAGGGGTCAAGCTATCTTTTAAAGCGCCTGTAGGCCAGACAAGGAATAATGGATGGAAACTGAACAAGGAGAGATTTAACCTGGAAATAAGGAGAAACTTTCTGACAGGGAGAACAATTAACCCATGGAACAGCTTTGCCCTTGGAAGTTGTGGGAGCGCCATCACTGGAGACTTTCAAGAAGAGATTGGGCTGCCATTTGTCAGAAATGGTGTAGGGTCTCCCGCTTGGGCGGGGGGTTGGACTAGATGACCTACAAGGTCCCTTCCAACTCTGATTATCTGTTACCTGTTATCTATCTGTTTCCGCCAGGATCCTGCTAATTTTCAGGAAGAGAGAAGTTCCGCAGCTTTCTTATGGCAGAGGAAATACCGCAGTGTGATAAAGACCCTCCGTAGATTGGAGAACTGGGATATTCAAACAGTGTGCTCCTTACCTAACAAGGTGGCCTGTCCATCACTCTCTTCCAGCGTTGATTCGACATAGAGAGCCCTCTGTCCGGGCTCAGCTGGAGTCCAGGAAAAAACAGCCTGGGCTTCCTCCAAGACGCTCTAGGATATCCAAAAAAAGGAACAAGTCACAGATGGTGGTGTTAAATAGTACACTCCGATCCTTTTCCCTGCTTGGTGCCATACTTGGAACTCCACCCATAAGATCAGTTTAGATATCCAGCCCTTGCTTATCAATGGAGACCGAGTGGAGCAAGGGGCCAGTTTTAAGTTTCTGGGTGTTACCCTAAAAGAGGACCTGACCTGGGGTGCCCACATTGCAGCCCTGGTCAAAAGGGTGCCCAGCAGAGGTTATACTACCTGAGACTTCTCAGAAAGCAACAACTGAATGAAAAACTGCTGGGGACCTTCTACCGCTGCACCATAGAGAGCATTTTAACTTAACTGCACCTCTGTATGGTTTGCCAATTGCACAGTGGCAGCTAGGAAAGCACGTCATTGCCCAGAGGATCATAGGTTGCCTTCTCCCCTCTTTGGAAGAGCTTTATAGCTCCCGCTGCCTTAAGAAAGTTCAAAACATTCTCAAAGATCCGTCTCATCCTGGGCACCCCTTTTTTTGAACTATTACCATCCAACAGACGGTACAGGATAATAAAAACAAGGACAAATGCGCTGAAAAACAGCTTCTATCCCAGGGAGTAGCTCTGTTGAATTCTACTGTATAGTGCAATATTAATGCAATATCAGGGGTGTTCAATTCAATGTATAAATGCGTAGGATGTGCGTTTGTGTTTTATTTTTATAGTCATAACGTACACTGAAGATGGCATTTAATTTCATTGTACGAGGTGCAATGACGATAAAGTAAACTGAACAAACTAGAAACTAGAATGGAGGGGTTTGCTGAACCCTAAAGATCTTCTTTGGAAGATCAAGTGTTAAGTCTGCAAAAACTTAGTTTTCATAAGAGTCTATCTACTAAAACTGTGCAGTTCCAGGAAAAGACGCAGCTGCTTTAAAGGGTTGTGGATATCATATTTCTCCATATATAAGACGCCTCCATGTATAGAATGCAAAATTACCCAAAAATTCTTACCCAAAATTACCCAAAATTCAGAAATCAATATTTTAAACATTAAATAGAAGACATTTATTTTGCAGAGTAAAAATAGAAGACATTTATTTTGCATTTATTTCACTTTTAGGTACCGGTATTTATTTTTTTGTTTTCTGACATTTTTATGGGTTCAGAATGCTCCGACATTACCACTCCCTGTCACATCCTGGGCACTGGCTACAGGATCAGCTGCAACGCCAGTTACGTAAGCCTCATGATTGGAGGAAAGCTGTTAGCTTGTCTCTGCAATCGGAGGTTTCACTCATGAGGCTAGTTTGCAGAGACATGAGTTGTGGTTCGCTGGCAGCCTGTGCAGATGGCAGCAGAATTGGACAGTGGGGAAGAATGGGGACCAGTCCAGGAGTCTGGGGAGGACTCGGACGAGGGTCCTGTGTCCAATGCAGAGATGGGGCCAGGACCATCTGGGAGTTGTATGCTGACTCCGGAGCCTCCAGAATCTGGCAGCAGCGAGGCAGAGGAATAAGGGGAGCCTATTCCCAGTGCGCGTGTGCGCAGAGCTGCCAGAAGGCAAGAGCAGCTAAGACAAAAGGAGCAACTCGGGAGTAAGTGTTAGGTATAACATTGATACCAAATATGGTTTGGGTGAATAAATAT